TTCTCCAAATTGTACCTATTTGCATTTCATGTTGCAGTAAGAACACATTATTGTCAGATTTTTCACAAGGCATCTCTCTGTTGACTGTATCCTTCAATGCCCCTGGGCTAAGTCGCCTGGATCTTAACTTTGCATGCACCGAGTATTCATAACCTCCTGGCTGACGGAGCTGGGGCCACGTTTCTAAAACCAAGGCAGTCGACGAATGAGATGTATCACATACTGATCCCCTTAGTAAGAAAACTGAATTGATGGCTTCTTTTTATTGCTATTGTCTGTGAGGAAATGGAAATTTCCACAGAGCTGCATAAATGTGATATGGCTAATTCTTTTGTTCTGACTTTTGATGATGATCAAAGTCTTGCTAATGTAAACTAGTTGGAGGCGTTGGAGATGTTGGGTTTTGGTCATAAAAAGAAAGGATTTTATTACTTTTAATCACAATTATTAAATGTAATTTTATGAGGCTAATAATGATGATTTAGTAGGTATCTTAAGATTAGATATGAGTAATCGTATTTAGAATATTAAAGAACAAACATGCTTGGACTAATGCTGGATTCCACTTTTACTGCAATGAGTGGGTGTTTAAAAGTGGTTTTTCCTTTTGCAAATGCAGACGTTTACAATATAATCCAGTATGAAGGCATGTTTGGACCGCTGTTCATAAACTGGGCATGCTTTATTTTATTTGTAGTTATTTGATGGAGAATATTTGCCCCCTCCCCTTAAAAATTTTTTTTGGTTTATATTGATTGACAATTATTCACTTAGCGCTAAAGAACAGGGGAGGGTACTTGTGCAGGGCTATGGCCTTTTTACTTATAGAGAAATACTGTGAAAATGATCAAGCTGCCATTTTCTTTGGAGATATTTGGAATATGAATTTCAAGCCTAGAAGATTTTCAAAGGTGCTGATTCCACTCGTCTCCGGTTCTGAGGCTGCCAGGGAGGCTTGCACAGCTGCTAACATGGGATGGCAGCGGCTCCGCCTTCTCCTCTGCCCACGGCGGTACCCGGTCAGGAACCAGAAGGCCCGAGCTATATTTCAGCATCTGTCACTAAGTAATTATCTCTATGTTACGAGGGGCATGGTTTCAAAGGTTTCTTTCTCGGTCTCCTTATATTAAATGGTTTATATGTGGTTGTCACAATGAAATATTTTACAAACATGAAGTGAAAATATAGGGCCTCCTTTGTATAATAGCGGAGGTGATTTTGAACTAAAATTCTCCTAGAATTTTTCACCAACTCACACAAGTTGAGGGTAGAGAACAGAGGAGGTAAGTGCTGCCAGAGAACACGTCCTTATGCTGTTCTGAGGGAGGGCGTGAGGAATACGGGACATCGGGCCATAATCAGAGAAATAAATAGTGACTTCATTTTGTCTACTGTGATAATTAAAATTGGTAAACAATTTGCATGTCATTTGCATACTTCCTAAATTGTAGATCGATTATTAGACAGAAGCTTGTCTTCTACCGGCTCTTCTCTCTTCTGTTGAGACTGTGGGATATCAAGACGAAAGCGGGGAGCGGACTGCTCTCAGTCTTGTTCGGGGTCATCGCTGGCGTTTGCGCAGCGCGGCGGGGTGAGCGACTGCGCGTGAAGCTGAAATGCCTCCAATGCCAGCCTGGCCTGTCCCGGCAGCGTCCCTCACTCCTCTCCTCAGCGGGGGCCACGGTGCCACATTTGCAAGGCTCGCTACGCCTGCGTTTCCAAGTCAAACCGTCTCTATTTCAGCCAAATTTACGGAGCTCCAGCCAGCCGTGCTAATCTAGCAAGGTGTCCTTACCCCGGACCCAGCGCAAGTTCAGTGACTGAAGTCCTGCTTTATTTAATCAGACAGGCCTCCATTTCCAGCTCTGTTCCTTTGGCTGTCTGGAGCTGCTGTCCTGCCTTTCACTCACCTAAACTCTTGCAGGGGGAAGGTTTCTCCCTGTGTCCCAGTCCCTGTGTCTGGCACATGGCCCTGTGTTCCTGCGGCGCGTTCCCTTTACGCAGCCTGGACTTGTCCTCTGGCCAACAACCAAGCTCCTGGGCACACCTCGCTCCCCTCCCAGCATGGCTGCCAAGCAGCCAGCACTGAGTGTCTCATCCTCACAAACCAGTGTCCCTCGGGCCTCTGCCGACTGCTTGCTTCAGAGTCCCCTGACGTCCCCTGGCCCGTCCACTACTAGTCTGTCAGCTGCTCCTGAGACCTCAGGCAGCACCCACAGTGGGTCTGCCCAGGCTCTGGGGCCTGGGTCTCCCGGACTGATGCAGCCCGAGCCAGGCTCTAACGTGACCCAGTGCAGACACTCCTGATTAAGGGTTTTCCTCCTTGGACAAAATTTCCTTCAAAGATTTTCTCTTAAGACTGACACATGTCTCATGTGGTCAAAAGAACTTAACTTCTTAGGCATTTGACGCACTTACAAATATACAATAGAGAGGACCAAGATTTTTGGAACAGAAATTAAGAAAACTCAATGCACATCTCCACTCTCCTTCTCAAAAATAAATAAATAAAATAAACCCAAAAGATTCCAAAGGATACAAAAATGACCAGCTAACCTTCAAACGATGGAGCATTTTATCAAAGACCTAATGATTCTAGGAGGGCACAATTTGTAATATCTAACGAACATTGGTCATGGACTTTGGCAGACTGGGAGATGATAAGAGCAAACTAATTAATAATACTGTAGCTACTAACTAAATTAATGTCTCCCGGCCAGACACAGTGACTCACACATGTAATCTCAGCACTCTGGGAGGCTGAGGCCGGAGGATTGCTTGAGCTCAGGAGATTCAGACCAGCCTGAGCAAGAGTGAGACCCTGTCTCTACTAAAAATAGAAAAATTAGCCAGGTGTGGTGGTGCATGCCTGTAGTCCCAGCTACTCGGGAGGCTGGGGCAGGAGGATCACTTGAGCCCAGGAGTTTGAGGTTGCTGTGAGCTAGGGTGACACCACAGCACTCTAGCCCAGGTGACAGAGATAGACTCGGTCTCAAAAAAAAAAAAAAAATTAATGCCTCCCCCGGAAAAAGAGGCAGAAGTGTGAATTTGACAGTCCCTAGAATGACCAAATATTAGTATTTAGGTGAACTTTAATACAGTAATTATGGTCTGCTTGGATAAATCCCGTGATGCTAAATGGATTGCTTTTTGTCATTTTTGAAAGGTTATAGTACACTTGCCATGGTCATCCCTTTGGAAGAGGCTATTTTGGAAGTAAGTGTAGGTGGAACCATATGTAGTTTGAAAACCTGTGCAACTGTTTTGAGTAACAGGTGAATGTATTTCAGATGAAGAACGATTTGTTTGCGAGATTGGTGGGTTTAAAAAACATCTAAATAGACTCTGAAAGAAATATTCAATTTCACTTCTATTCAAGGCAAAATATAAGAAAGATAAGTTCTTTATGAAAAGCAAATATAAAAGCAGAATTTAGAATGACACTTAATGAAATGAACACATCAAGAAGGTTTTTACTGCCCCCTGCTGTCAATTTCTAAAAGAAATAGGGTAAAATCACTGCAAACTGGCTTAAGGTGTGTTAATGGAACAAATTGGTTGGGGGGAAAAAAGCCTCCCTCTAATGACAACAATTTTCAGCCAGGAATGCTCGTGTTCGCTTCATGTGTGTGAGCAAGAACTCGTCAGCCCAAGAAACCAGCAGCAGCGAAGCGTGGATCAGTGGACACAGGGTGAGAGAGCAAGTTTGTGAAATCTTACTTCTCATTAATATGAGAAAGTACCAGTTGCTTCAACTTTTAGCCAGTGATGTCCACTTTACCACTTCTCCAAATTAATTTTGAGTTAGTTTTTTAGTATTTAATTTAGATAAATCATTCTTCATTAATCAAAGCAAAACTTTCAAAATAAATGAACGAATGGCTTATTTTTTGTCGTGCAAACCTGACTTGAAATGTTATTTTCATCCTGACATGTGAAATTAAGAAGTCAGAGATAATACAGATAATAGGCAGCAGCAAGGCAGCAGTTGCTAGTCGCAAGGCACTGTTTTATTTTTTCCACCCATTTTCTTCGACCGCCCTAATCCCGGGTGGATATTATCATCACGCCCACGCACAGGTGAGAGTCAGAGGGTTAAAGCCACGGACTAAGCGGGGAAACCCTGCGGGAGGGCTCCTCGCCGCTCCCCTCTGCCCGTCCGCACAGAAAGCACAAATTCTGCAACTGAGGAGGAAGAGTTTGTAGGAATGTGACGGACGTGGTGGTGCGTTTCTCCGCCCCACGCTCATCTCACTGTTATTCTTTGCTGTCCCCGTGCTCAAGTGGCCAGAGCCCGCGCAGCAACGACAGGCGCACCTGCGACGCTCCCAGCGTGGCTCGCCTTTCTCTGTCATTAGCGGGAAAGCTCTGCCCGCCCGGATGGCATCGCGCCGGAAGCGCGTGCTTTTCACTGAACACGCGCCGGCTCCGCCCACGCCTGGGCGCGGAGACCCTACTGGGCTAATCGTGCGGCTGGCCCGTGCACGCCTGCGCCCGTGCACACCTGCGCCCGTCCCCGCCTGCGCCCGAGCACACCTGCGCCCGTGCACACCTGTGTCCGTGCACTCCTGCGCCCGTCCCCGCCGTGCCCGTCCCCGCCTGCGCCCGAGCACACCTGCGCCCGTCCCCGCCGCGCCTCCAGAGCGCTCCCCGTTTCAGCCACGCTTCCGCGCCCCGCCGCAGCTCGCGCTCAAACACACGCACGTTTGCGCGGAGCTTCGAGCAGGCCGGCGTCACGCCTCGCGTTTGCCCCGAATTCCCGCAGGACAACCTGTGCGCGGCCCTCTGCGCTCCGAGCCCTGGCCTCCCCGCCCGCAGCGCGGACCGCAGAGGGCCACGACAGCGGCCACGCCCCGCGGGGACCACCGCACGCCCCTGCGTCGCGACCCTTGGCACCGCGCCGCCCCGCTCCGGGGCGCAACGACGCGGGGGCCCGTCCGCCGCCCACGCGAAAGCCACCCCAAAGCCAGCACGCCGGCCTCTCGCCGCGGGGCTCCTACCTGACCCGCGGGGCGGGGTTCCCGCAGACCCTGCACTCCAGCCGCACCCGGCTGCCTTCCGCCACCTCCTGGCTCCGCAGCTTCTGCACGAAGCGGGGCGCCGCGGGGGCCCCCGGGCGGCAGGGCCCGGTCCGGGCTGGGGGGGCCCCCGCGGCGCTCGGGCTGGCGCTGCGCGGGGCCGGCCGGCTGTTGGGGGACAGGTACCCGCTGTCTGGGGACGAGGACTCGCCGTTGGAGGCCCGGTGCCTCGGCCTCGCGGCCTCTCTGAACACCGACGTCAGCTCCTCCACCAGCCTGGCCGCCTGGTCGCCCAGGGGGCCCCGCGGGCCCGGCCCGCCCCGCGCCGTCGAGGGCCCCGCGGCGTCGGCGCTCTGCGGCCCGCGCCGGCCGGCCCGTCGGAGGCTGCGCACCAGGCTGGGGCTGGCGAGCGGCGCGGCGGCCGCGGGCCTCCTGCTGCGGGCGCGCGGGGACAGGCTCTGCGCTCGCCTCCCCGCCGCGGGGCTGCGGCCGCCGGGAGCGAGGCTGGAAACCCGCGCGGGCTCGTCCGCGTCCCCGGTGTCCGGGCCGGCGATCGCCCTCCGCGCCAGGGCGAGGCTCGCGCTCATCTCCGCGCGGCTGAGGAAGGCGGAGAGTCCCGCGGAGCCGCCGGCGCCCTCGCTCTCGTCCGGCGCGGCGGGCAGGGAGTGGCGGGAGCCGCGCGACGAGGCCTCGGACATCCCGGCACCCGCGCCGTCCTCATGCGCGTGCGCTCCCCGCAGGGCCGGGCTTCCGTCTGGGGCCTGAAACACAGCGGGGATCGCCATCAGTTCAACGATTTGTTTTCTGTTGTATCATAAAAGTACCAATCTACGAATGGGGAGAAACATCAGTGAGCAAATACGTCAGTTTTCTCTATTCTGTAAGCTGGAAGAAATGCCAGGACACTCGTGCGCATCATTCATGGCTGTATTTCAGGCTGTGCCCGGAGAGTGACACAGTCCCGCTGAGCGGGGTTGAACGATGCAAAAGATGGCATTTGCCGCAGGCACCTTTGCCTGCAGGCTGAGGCCACAAGTCCGTACAGGAAGCTTCCAGAACGCGGTGAACCTCAACTGCACGGCCCGTGTCGGGAGGAAACCTGGCCGGACCTTCCCCGGGAATGCCGAGTCTTACGAGGACTGCATTGGGCTGCCGGCTTAGAAGCAGCTTTCCACCTAGGGGAGTCTCTAATTTCAAAAAGCAACACGCAAAAACTGAGAGGGTTTCCAAAAACGCACCTCGAGAATCTACCACTACGTAGGATGCAGTGAGTCATAGAACCTGTTAATTGAACAGAAGCTATTTTTAATCAGAGATCCTGAAACTCATCATCAACCTACCCTTTCTCCATTAGTTGAGTGCTGTACTTGATAGTCTTAGGTCTCTTCTTAGAAAGATTAGTTACTTTGCTGTGTAGAATTATAAGATTCTCCACGTGCTAGTTCTACTCTACCTACTAGAGCGTATTTCCTACTATTCAAGTAAATCCTAAATCCATTAGAGTGGTCTCGTCATTGTCCCCCGTTATCAGCCCACACATTACTCTAATTCCTTTGTCCTGTCTGCGCTCCAGGGTGGAAGCATCCTGACCTCTCTCCAGTTGTTCAGACATAGCCCATATAAGGAGAGAAGTTATAGTCAGTGAATCTTGAATACTTGAGTATGTTTTGTTCACGAGAAACAGGCAGAGCATGATTTTGAAAAAGCAAAGTTACGGCAAATATAAACAAGTATAACATAAACATGCATTCAAGACAATAATTTAATTTGACAAATTAATTGAGGAAACCAGTAAGATGTTACAACCATTTCAAAGGAGATGTTGAAGGCCAGACACGTATGTAGGCAACCGGGAATGCTGGCATGAACTTGCTAATAGGCCTGAAGCTGGTTAATATTTATAGAGCAACCCAATGTAATGTTTGGAATCATTTATATCAACAGCATTTCTACTAGAAAAACTCACTTGTGTATCTGTGTACAAGCATAATTTGCATTGCTATCAGGTTTCTACAACGTACCAAGCTGTAAAATTATCTAAAGACAATGAAAGCCATAGACCCCGACAGGTCCAGAGGACCCTGGAAGGTCCCCCAGGGCCCACCCAGCATCGCACTGCAAGGGCACCCAGGGCCATTTTGTTTATTTCAAAGCCTTTTATAGCTTGTCCTAACAAGGCAGGGTGGTTTCTCTCAGTCCAGAGCTCTGACGTGCAGTCGGCCCCACAGTCAGCAAACACGGTGGGTCACGCCAAGGGAAGCAGGGCCACGATCGCTCGGTGTGTGAGGAGGTGAGTCACCGGGCAGCAAGTCCAGAAGGGACGTGGAGATGGGAGGGAGGGACTCGGGCTGAAAGTATGTTTGTGCACTGCGGGCGGAACAGACCATATTTTTGTTTCTTGCAAAATTTATTTTTCTTTGAAAGAGAAGCTACTGGGGTTTTTTTGTTTGTTTTTGTTTTTTTGGCCTGAGAGAAATTCAGTTTTTGAATTGAACTCAGTGCAGAGAGAGCTTGAGAAACATTTTGTGTCAACCGTCCCTGGAATAGGCTCAACTAAAAATCCAAGCAGATAATTGAAACAAAAACTTTTGGTTCTGGAAGTGACTAACTTTTGAAACTTAAGCTGGGATAGATGTACTACATAGGAAAACATTGCCCATTCAAAATGCATTTATAAGATACCTGCTGCATGCCCAGCAGTATGCTGGGGATGGGGGTATAACTGTGGAAAAGAGTAGATTTTTGACTTCTTGGAACTTAATCGTCCATGTGGGATACAAACAGTAACACGCACATGTAATGTAGTGCATTAAATGCTATGATGAGAGAAAAGCAAAGTGCCGTGATAGCTCCTAGGAGGGATGGCAAGGTTAGGATCGGGAAAATCCCATGGAAGAGACAAGGCCGAGAATGCAGAAGAGATGGGGAGGTAAAGAGGGTGTTGGCAGAATCATGGACACAGACACAGTGTGGCAGACTCCGCGGCAGAACAGGTTCAGCTGTACAGAAATCTCCCTGCAGCGGACAGAACAGTTAGAGTTGAGACTAGGCAGCAGGAGGCCGGTCAGGGAGGGACTGGGCCCTCGCGAGGAGCTTGGATTTTATTTTATGGGTAGTTGGCAGGCAAGGAAGAGGGTTAAGTCTGCGAGGAACATCACCAGAGTTACATTTTTGAGAGATAACTGAGTGCTGCCTGGCTTGGGGACGGAGTCGGGGGAAGAGGAAGGCAGGTCAGCCTGCGAGAGGCTCGCGCGTCATCCGCGGGGTGCATACATTTATCCCTGCCTTATTTTTGGTTGCCACCCTCTGAAGCCCCCTCTTGGTTTTGGATAATTCCTCATAGTATGAACCTCAGTGAGAAACTGAGCTCGCTTGCAATGGGGTATGAAATCTCCAAATATTTCCCTTCCCAGCCCCTTGGAGCCTGGGCACAAGTCTGGGAGGTGACCTAGCCTTAGCAATGCGACGCGTTCATCTCGGACTTTGAGGTGAGGAAGCGGCAGGTGCAGGGTCCGTTCTGGCAGCTGGACCTGGCAGTGTGGTGACGTGGTGTGTCCAGGGCCAGCAGGGTGGCTGCGCAGAGGGGCATGGAGGGGCGGAGACGGCAGCCGTGGTGTGGTCTGTTTAGCTGTGGTGGCAGCGGTGGTGGCTGCACACGAGGGTCTGGGGACACAGTTTTGGCTGTGATCTCGCCACCAGCATAGAGTCCAGGCGTCATTTGTGAGCTGCCGCCACTGCTATGGACAAGCCCACTCGCACTTTGGCCAGAGAATATTTCTGTTAGTGCCACTAAAGACAATTGACAGTGGATAAAAAAGATGGTAGAGGTTTGAACGTGAGACACTGGGATGGAACACAGAAGACTGAGCCACCAGAAGACAGAACGACAGAGCTTGGTAACTGACTAAATGCCGAGATGGGGCAGGGGAAGGATCGCGGGTGTCCTACTTCGAGATGAGCGGTGCGATCAACGCACAGGCCGCAAGTGGAGTAACAAGTCTTGAGGAAAAAATAAGCTGAATTCAGTTTGAGCCTTTTGCACTGGGGGCACCTCTGGGGCCTCGGGTGTGGGTGTCTGGAAGGCAGTCTGCGATGCTGGCGGAGGGCCGGGAGAAGGCAGAGCCGGCGGGGTTGGGAGCTCTGGCCTGCTGGCAGCGCTGTTAGCTGCGGGAGTAAGTCAGGTCACGGAGGAAGCGGGTAATGGAGCCCTGCAGGGAGTCGGAGGGAAACCAGTGAGCCGGGTGTCACGGAAGCTGGGAAGAGAGTTTCTCAGGAAGGGGTAAGTGGCCTTTTGATTCTAGCAACTGAGCAGTTAGCACCACTGGCGACAGCAGTTTCGGTGTGAGTGACAGACACGCAAGCCAGGTGGTTACAGAAGGAAAGAAGTAAAGATGACGAGCGTGGCGGTGGCTTTGAGAAGTCTGTAGGAAGGAGGAGAGAAAGGAGGTAGCAGTTGAACAAAAATATGGGATCTAGTGAGGTTTTTTGTTTGTTTTTTAGGATGGGGCACAGGAACACGTTTCGACACGCACGGAATTAGGCAGTAGGGAAGCTGAAAACGCGTGTAAGAAAGTGGGACGATGTATAGGCCAGATCCCCAGGATAGAAGAAGAAACGGGTTATTGCCACACAGTGGGGTGCTGGCGTCAGGTGGGAAGGGGCAGCTCCTCCCTCGTCAAAGGAGGGGAGCGATGGGGGCGGGGAGAGAGAACATCTAGACACCTTTGTAAATGAAAGAAAATTTCAACTTTCTCAACACAGCTATTGTAAGACTTTGTGCGTTGGAAGTTTATGAGGACAAGAGGTAGCTTGAAACAGCTGTTGTGGAAAGGGAGGAGGTTCCCAAGAAGGATTTATGGGCAGAGGCGAGGGCTTGGTTGAGGGCGGTGCGCGCAGTTACAGCTTGCCTTGGTCTGGGCGACCGCGCGGCAGGCGCCAAGGTGCAGAGGAAGACGGGCAGGTTCCAGCGCAGGTAGGAGGGGAAGGAACGGGGCAAGGTGTGGAACATATCGGCAAGGGACGGGTGGACTTCGAAATCTATGCTGGGCTGGAATTCAGGGGTGGGGTCTGGAACACAGAGAGGACCCAGGGAAAGCAAAGGAAAGGCGAGTGAGGAAGACCGAGTCGAGAGATCCAGAAAGACAGAATAAGATACTCAAGTGTCTGCATCAAATATTTTAGAAGCAGAGCTTTCTGAGTCCTGACTTCGTGTTTGTTTTTTTAAAAATAAGGTTTATTTTATTTCTTTTTCTAAATCTTAATTTTTATTGAGGTATGTTTGGCAGTTAAAGCGGTATATACGTAAGGTGTACAGTTTGAGATCTGCTAAACATACACACTGTGGAACTGTCACCGCAGTCGTGCTGCGTCACACATCCGTTACCTCGAATGGTTACCGTTTTCTTGTTCTTTCTTTTTTCTCTTGTTTCTGGTAAGAACACTTACGGTCTCCCCGCCTGACCGTGGCCACATGGGCGTCCTTGACTGTTTTTGTGGAACACGTCAGAGTGGAGCAGGTGCGACAGAGACCGCATGGCTCACAAAGCCCAAAGCGTTTGTCTGGACAGACATAAGCCGCACGCCGCCTGCCACTGTGGGATGTTGGCTGCCCAGCGAACTCGGACAACTGCACGGAGACCCGCGGTGAGGACGACGCGCTTGGCTGACAGCGGACCGCTGCCTGGGGGCAGGCACTGCACCAACAGCCCTGTGCAGATCATTTCATCCAAAGTCCTCGAGACCGGCTCCAATGCAGAAAGAAGGAAACTGAGGCAGAAAATCTGAG